GAGAGAGAGAGAGAGAGAGAGAGAGAGAGAGAGAGAGAGAGAGAGAGAGAGAGAGAGAGAGGAATTGGCAAAATGGGGGAAGGGCATATAACGGATATGATTGAAGGAGATGGAGTAGTGAAGAAGTTTATGACGAGTCGTACAAAAAAAATAAATAAAAAAATGTCGTGATGAGGGAGACGTGCACGTTTGAGCATGTAACACGCTTGGAGTCTATTGCTGATTCTCAGTGAGCGTATGCAAAAGCAATGGCCATTGCTTGTCATTTTTCTTCCTCCTCAGATTCTTTTCTTTTCTTATCTTTTTTTCCTTTCTTTTTTTTAATAGGAAAGGACCGGGAGGTAGGTGCCATTAACGGTGGGACAGGACTGAGATTGCTCTGTGCGGCAGCCCCCGTGTTTCCAGGTTGAATTGTGACACCCCCCCGGCCTCGAACGGAATGCAGAACGAGCCCGTGCACTGTTGGAGCCTCTCTCTCTCTCTCTCTCTCTCTCTCTCCCTCCCCCCACGACGAATGAGCACCAAGCCCCGACATCACAGTATCCATGCACGGTAAGGTAAGAACCTGTAAACCAATGATAACGAAGAACAAGAAAAACAAGGAGGAAAAAAAAAGAACAAAAAAAAGGCAATGCATGGATGATAGTGGGGAATCTTATGTTTATGATGTATTGTAGTATTTCATTTGCGAATGTTAAATGAACTTCCCGCTTCAACATGGCCAGGTGCACCTTCCACATTCTTGAGTTGTGGACATGAGAGAGAGTGGTGTGCCGATGCTCGGGCTGAGTACAACTGTAGTGGGTGGAGGATGTCAAAGACGAGGTCACGCACGTGGCGCGACGAAGAAGGGACGGAAACCGGTATACACCGCCACGTGGGCAGACGAGGCAAAGCTCCCACAGGTTGGAATACAGTCCTAGGGCCTCGCTGCACTACTCTCCACATGCGTAAAAAGACAATAAAGATGGCAATGTATCTTTCCATGTTACGGCGGTGGATTCAGTCTCATTTTGGCCATTTCGAGAGTGGTGGTGGAGGCCCCTACCCTGGATTTTGAAACTGCACACAAAGGTGCAAGCGTCGTGACAGGACCGTTGATAGAACAAAACAAACAAAAAAAAAAACAGCGAAAAAAGGAAAACATAATCATGGCGCCAATCCGTACAAGCAAGCACAGAGGGCGGTTGTACGGAAAGTGGCAGTAGGCCGCCACTAAAATCCACAGGCCGTCATTCTATTCCTACGACCTGTGGTACCGGTACCACAAAAGTCGAACCGTTACTGGTACCTTTTCATCGCAGCTTCGGAAATTCGTGGCACGCAGGGGGCGTATCAGTTCGGCAAATCAGCCCCGGGTGTACTGGTGGTTTTAAGTTTAAACCATCAGTCCACAAGCAAGGTGTGCTGGTGAACCCGCCGGCCTTTCATGGATGTACAGGCCTGCGCACAGTGTAATAAAATGCATTCACAGGTCCGCAGCAAATCTCACGAACTGGCGGTTTAAGAGCATTCACAGTGCAAATGCTCACAATTCTGACAGTGCCAGTGTTCATGATAAAAGGAGGAGTGTGTGAAGTTGACAACACACAAAAGAAATGGGAGATTATGAAGCACAGCTAACGACACGATATCTCGAGCCACAATGTGCACTCAAGGACAGAAAAATAGAGGCATAAATGTTGCATGTGGAAGATCGAGAACTAGACCTTTTAACACTACAATGTTGTGCAGGGAATTTTTGCTCACCCTCAAAGTGTGCACAACCGCGTTCTGAGGGTGAGCAATGCTAACAAACAAAAATGGCTGGGGGCACCAGCCAAAAGCAAAAAGGAAACACGCCCATAACAGTTTTCTTTTTTGGGTGTGCAGTGTGCACTGTGCAGGGGAAATACACTTCGGCAAACACAGTGCGCAGAGAGTGGTGGTTTAAAAGGCCAACAAAGTTGCTAAGCAATTATCGAAAATACAGGGATGTAGGGTAGGGTCCACTGTATAAAGGAAAGAAGTTCAAGAAACTCCAAAATCTCAAAAATCCAACTAAGAAGAAAATGGTGCAAAATCGCAAATCAAATAAATACCGTCACCCCTCCGTTCTGTGTAGCCAGTCGGTCCGATCCTTCAGGCTGGGGAGGGTCTTGCTATGACGACCATTTGGGCCGGGAAGGCCAGGGTTCGACTAAGTACAGTCCACCGTCCTGCTGCGGTTTAGCACAGACACAACACCTCCACCTCCTCTGATTACACACACCGGTTCTGCGCTCATAAAAGGAGTGGGACTGGTCCTACGGTTCATGTGCACAAAGAAACGAGTGGTACAGGCATGCATACATATATGTCCTGCTAGTCATGAAAGAGCACCGCAGGACGAGGGAGGGTAAGAAAGGGCAGGGAAGAGAAAAGGAACGGCAAAAGGAGGCAAAAACACCACGATGAAGTCCATACCTGCCCTTGTCTTGTATGCCGCCTTCTGCCCTGTTGCCGGAACAAGTTCAATTCATCCCTCAAGCGTGCTGGCCGCAAAAAGAACGCACAATGACCCACAAACAACGTGCAGCAACGCAAAAGAAAAAAACACAATGCACCAATTAAACGAACCAACCATCAGGCTTCAGGTCCCATTCCTGAAGTCCCATTAGGTTCCAGGTTTCATTCCTACAGCTGCATTCGGTTCCTGGTTTCATTCCTACAGTTGCAAGAGGTTTCCAGTTCCACTCCTACAGCCCCATTAGGTTCCAGGTTCCATTCCTGACAGACCAGTTAGGTTCCAGGTTCTGCTCCTACGGTCCAATTAGGGTTCAGATTCCATTCCGGAAGTCCCATTTGGTTCCATTTCTACAGTCCCACAGCATAACAGTGCACCCAACATCCATGCAGCCAAGATACCTCCTGGACCCTTGGTCTTGAAGAGGGAGGATGACAAGACAGAGAAAACCAGGTAGCATAGATTTCTTTCTGCAATTCCATGTGATGTTGGATTGCACTTGTGCTGCATTATCCTTAACCCCATCCAGATCTCCTTAGGTTCCATTTCACTTGTGCCTTATCTTCCTGTTCCCCTCTTCCTCGTTGTCTTCACCCGCCATTACAAGGCCCCAGCCTTGCAGAAAAAGCAACTCGTCCCCACCACATTGTAGCAATGGCTCAGCCTACCGGACAACAATGGCTGGCAGCGCCAGCCAAAAAAATGAAAAAAAGTGTGCCGCTGGCGGTTTGGAAAAACTTGGTATGCAGTAAGGCACCTCCAGGCCCCGGGTGTACTGGTGGTTAGGGCTCTAGGAACGGAACCTAAGGACGGGGAGACGGAGAGGCTTAAACCACCACTACCTCCGAGCCTGTTTTTGCCGACCCCGATTTTTTAACTGTGCGGCATGCGCCGAGTTTTGCCGAACCTGGGTTCCATTTTGTTTCTCTTCCAGTACTCTTCTGAAAAAAGAAAAGAAAAAGCACGGCCAGACTTTCAAAAAACAAGCTGCTTATAGCCACAAATAAAGTAAAAGAAGAAAAACAAACACCCCTTTGGACGTGATACCTGGTAGATACCTAGCCCAACATTGTTGTGTGAGTATGCCCTCAGCGAGGGCATTATGGCAAGGGTGTCAGGTCCACGAAAGGAAGAGGGGAAAACAAATTGAAACTGAACTTAGGGCAGGAAAGCGGGTTCATACATTCTGCAAAGTAGTGTGGGCACGCCCTCCTCCACAAAGTGTCAGCAGTCCGTGGACTGCGCCGTGCCTCCAAAAAAAGAAAGAAAACAAAGACACGAACAACCAAAACCTGAAACTGGCCGCAATAGTAGTTAGATACTTTCTTGTGAGTTTTGATGTGAGCACAACTCCGTGCACGGCCTTCCCCGACTTGGTCTTTTGTTTTCCTTTTTGTTTTTTGAACGGGCCCACAAGGCCCATCTGCCGAGCCTCCACAGACCCCCGAAAAGTCCATAAAAAGTGGGACAACTGCTGGTTTTCCCATTTTTCCCAAGAGTGACAGAGGTAGTGGTGGTTTAACACAACAATGCTGCAGCTGGCCAAGTGTCGTGTCTCCTATTTGGTGTCCACTTTATGGTGCTAACAAGTTTGGCTTAAAAGGTGCGAGAGGTTTGTTATAAAGACCATGAAAACACCCTGAAAAATTACTATTTAGGACTCTGGTAACCTTCTCTCTGTCAGCAATGATCCATCTTGACCCCCCCTCGGTGCCAGAGACGGAGATGGCCGTTATACAGAACAAAGCCCGGACTTCTGCAGCTCGATGTCCCTCTTTTCGAGAAATTTCCATGATATCACTGTGAGGCTGCACATACACATCCTTACAGTGGCATCATCGCCTTACCACTCAATGTTGAAAACAGATTCACAGTCTTCCGACTCTTTGCGGGCAGCAATGGACTCTTCGCAGCAGCATTCCACGTGCCAGCGAGCTGTGCAATACGTTGCAGACAACTCATGGAAATAACAGACAAGATTCCAGTCCAGGGAGAGCCTGCCTCCAAAGCCATACATGACCTAAAGAGGACCAGTGTAGTCTCAACACTGAGTCTCACTATGACAAAACCCTACACCTTGCACTCCGTAAACTGACCCCTGCATGTATAGCCTTTACAACAAACTGCCCTCACTGTATGGGAAAGAAAGCGTACTTCTGTCAGTCAGAGGAGGCCTTAACTTCTAACCATTCTAACATGCATACACAGTTAACGGCATGCGACCACTGCTTAATCTGTGTCCCTATGGCTATACAATGTATAGAACTGTAGTATAGCTTTATTGTATACTAAATATAGCCAGAAATGCATTACGGAAATAAAGCTTATCGATGCCCATACCAAAATCAGTATTCAAAAGCAAGAACAAAAGAGGCAGACTTATTCCTTCTTCAAAATACTTCTCCGTTTGTGAAATTGTGAGTGAGTCAAGTACATGTTTGCCTTTTCATTTGTGACTTGTGAGAGAAATACGAACGTACCTGCATCCGCATATCGCTCCTCCATAGCAGCTGTAAGCATACTCCTCATCAGCCCTATCTCTTCCGCATACGGATCGTTCTGATCACTGCCAAAAATAACAAATGAAGCAGAAGAATATGTGAGGAACGAGCCCTCAAGGGGCCCTATCAGACATCATATGATCTGGGCTAAGGCCCCCAGCAAGCCAAGTGCCTGCCTTAAGTGAAGGCGGGCCTGAATATTCGTCAGAGGCAAAATTCGACATTTCCATATGTGGGTATTCAGGCTCCCGCAGCACGCCAGTTGGTTGGGTAGACGCGTGAGCTTCACAAATCTGCGCCATACAGTTGGCCCAGGCCTTGACAGTTGCACCTGGGCACATATACACAAAGCAGGGCCAACACATTGGGAAGCAGGCCATTGGCCTTTGCAAAAGCAGTACTACCGACGCACCTGCCTGGGAGCCCTGCACAGATGCAGCAAACAGCCCAAGTCCGGAGAATCAGGCTGAGTCTCGGGCCTGGGCACAGGGTCTGAGGCCCAACCGGAAGCTACTGGAAGCTTCCAGCCAGGCCACACGCAGCATCCAGGAGGCTGCCACTTCCATAAAAGAAGTGAGGCAGCCCAGGCCGGGCATTCTGGCCAGTGCTGGCAATGTGGAAGTGCTACTGCGCTCTCGATTGATGCTGCACTGCTGCCAAGGGCGCTGACAGGGCGTGTAGTGGTGAAGTGGGGCGCTGCAGAGCAGCAGGGCGCAGGCGGCCATAGCCGGGCTGCTGGGCGCGAGGGGGTATGCGGGCGATCGAGTGGTCTTCAGGGAAGGAGGCAAGTGTGGGGTAATCAAGGTCTGATTGAGGGTGATGAGCTACGTACCCCGTGCATGAAGAGAGGTCGGCTATGGAGTTGACAGTCATGTACATTGGTCTTCGAGAGTCGAAGTGAGCCTGTGACGTGAACCAGCTGCAGGTAGGATAGTCGGGTTGAGTAGGTTGGGCACTGGGCGCCTGACAGAGGGGAGCGACTTTGGATACTGTGTTGGTGTGGCCTAAGGGCTTGAACATTGGCTCATTACTTCATTGCATTGCTCTATGTGGGGATGGTTTCTCAGTGCATTTTGTACTCTCTGCTTGGATACGACTACCTGGACAGCTGTGTGATTTCGCAACTTGGCTTTCTGTATATTGTTCACACTCATATTCCTTGCAATTTGGTATCGGAGCTCGTTGGTGATCGCCGCTTACCTGGCACCGGCGACATTGTGACTTGGTGCGCTGATGATGCTTCACGTGCAGTAAGGATACTTTGGCGCTGGTTTGAAGTAGCGGGGCCCAGGTAGAGGGGCCGGCCGCTGGAAGGCTGTGGCGACAGCGGATGAATGCATGATGATGAGAGTATGCTGACATGGCATTTTGGCTGAGGTGGCACTGCATTGCGTTGTGGGTGGTACCGATGATGATGAGAGTATGCTGACATGGCATTTTGGCTGAGGTGGCACTGCATTGCGTTGTGGGTGGTACCGAGGCTATTGACCGGTCATCAAAATGCACGCCGGCTGTAGCATATCAGAAAGTGAAATGCACTAACAGCCTAGGATCTAGCAATGATGAAAGTGGCAACAACCAGCAGCATAGATGCAACATTCACCAGATGTCAATGTGCACAATGCAACAAGTAAACCAACGAGAAAAACAACAACAACACATTTGCATCATCATCATCATGGGCTGGGGAACAGSGCAGCGGAATAATAGTAACCAAGAGGACACGTGGACAACAACAGGAAAGGGGGAAACTTCG